ATCCAAGTACGTTGATATTTAAGACTTGTTACAAGTTTCGATAAATCCGATTATTAATGATTCAAAATGAAAACAAAATTTGTCTAATCGTAGATAATAGCATCTACGATTTCTCTTTATAGATAATACTATCTATGATTTCATGCATTTTTCGGTATTGAGTATTACAACAGTAGGAAAGTTAGTATACAGTCATCCTAATATGAGAAATATTAAGCTGTCAAATTGTAAAGAACTATCGAGGGTAGAATAATCACTTCCAGATAAAGCCTGAATGTAAAGAGATAAGAAGAAAAATAGTTTAAATCCCTGATTTCAGATATCTCCGGAAATACAGAAACGTGTCGAAATTACTTTGCTCTATAAATTCCAAATACCAGGTGTGCCCTCTTAAAATCGGGGCAATCCTCGAATATTTCTCACAATGATTAAACTGATAAAGGAAAAAATCTCTACCGCTTTTTAGGCTTGAAAGAAGACGAGAGGAAGAGAAAAAAGAGAAGAAAAAAAAAGGACAAAAATACAGAAATGTGTCAAAATTACCTTGCTCTATAAATTCCAAACACCAGGTGTGCCCTCTTAAAATCGGGGCAATCCTCGAATATTCCTCGCAGTGGTTAAACTGATAAAGGGGAAAATCGCTTTTTGGGCTCAGAAGAGGACGAGAGGAGGAAGGGAGAAAAAGGAGAAGAAAAAAAGAATGCCGCCGCGGGGGGAAGGGAGGGGGAGAGGAGGCGCGCTGAATGCGGGGTTTTCGATCTCGTGCCATTCTATCATTGACAATTTCGCGCAAATGGGATGATGGCGGGCGATTGGCGCCGGTGATCGTCGAGGCGTGCGCCGCGCGCTCACATTGGCGTTAAATAAGAGTAAGCCAACAGCCACCCGTCAGCCGGTCCACGGCGACGCGGCATAATTGCCTGTGAAATCACCAGATGGATTTTGCCTCCTTGTTCTGCCTCCGCCCCCGCCGGGCTCCTCGTCGGCGGCAACAAACTTCGTAATTGTGGACGAGATTGTCGGCCTAAACGGATTGTTTCGCCGCGACTAAGGTAGCGACTATCATTTAGTCTCCAATGACTGATGATGATCGGCACATCCTTGTCGACAATATCTGATGGATCCATAGATCTTACCATGATATAATCAATGAATTTGTGATAAAAGCTGCCTCGACTGAAATTTCAATTCGATATTTCATACGATATTCTGTTATATTGTAAAAAAAATTGGCTGGAACTTCAGACAAAGTGTCTGCAAATATAAAAAATAAATATACTGTTAATAATTAAGATAATTATGTACTATATGTATTTTAACATTCCACGAATTAATATTTTTTCTCTTTAAACTACGTAAATATATATTTCCTTAAACATATATCAATATGATTTAATTCAAAAGAATAAAAATTAATATAAATAACAAAAACAAAATAAGATCGTAAAGAATAAAAATTTTAAAATAAATTTGCATTCAAAAATTTCGAGTATCAAATTTCTAGTAATTAAATTAATATTTTCTCTTTAAACTACATAAATAATTTTTTTAAACATATATTAATATAATTTAATTCAAAAGAATTAAAATTAATACGAATAACAAGAACAAAATAATAAAGAATAAAAATCTTAAAAAATATCTGATGGATCCATAGATCTTACCATGATATAATCAATGAATTTGTGATAAAAGCTGCCTCGACTGAAATTTCAATTCGATATTTCATACGATATTCTGTTATATTGTAAAAAAAATTGGCTGGAACTTCAGACAAAGTGTCTGCAATTTTTTTGCAGACACATCGTCTGAATTTTCAAACACACTTTAATTTTCAGACAAACTCTTCTGAACTTTCAGAAAAACGATTAAGACAGATTGTTTGAAATTTCTTTCAGACACTCAGACAAACATGTGTTTGAATTTTTAGAAAATTTTGTATAGTATGTGAAAAGTTTCACTGTAAAAGAAAACTGACTGACACTTCAGACAAAGTGTCTACAGCTTTTTTGCAGGCACATTATCTGAATTTTTAGAAAATTTTTTAAATCTTAAAATAAAATCTTAAGCAAGTATAACAAAAATTAAAAAAAACTTTAATATTCTAAATTTTGAGAATCTCTGATCAACGTAAATCCCAGAGCATCAAGTATAAGGTTTCGCACTCAAAAATTTAAAATATCAAGTTTCAAACGTCAAAATTTTTCAAAAGCGAGCAATCTTGAAATCTTTTGCTTCCCGCAGAGGAACGAAACGACGAGACAGAACGCGAGATACGAAACGATAGAATTATTAGTTCGAAAAAGGATGTATACACGCGCGGGCCGGGGGCCGGGGTTTCCATCCCCGGGCACGGCATCCGGATTAAGCGCGTCCCTTTTTTCCCCGCACACGGGAAATGATTTGCCCGGCCGGTCTAAGAGGACACGCGGGCCCGGACGATGTGATTCGGATCCGCGAGTGCTATTCGGATGCAGACGTGCGGATAAGCCCTTCAAAGGTCTCCCGTGTCCCCCTTCTTCAAAGGTATATCAACTTCTCCCTGGTTATACTTCGCGTAACCCACCCCCGCGTCACCGCTCATCCCCGCAGCCCCATATCGGAGAACACACTTCCACCTCTTCCTCCCCCCCCCCGCTTTACTCTATTTGTATTCAAACCACTCCGGACACGTCCTCGTGCATTTTGCACGTCCCGATTGCGCGAGCGACTTTCTCTCTCTCTCTCTCTCCACGCTGATAAGCGCCCCTTTTATATTCCCGCGCTGGGAATGGAAGAAATAATTGCGTAACGCGCGGCCAATTGTCAATGTGTGTTCCGAAATGATTGGACATACGACCGTCCCGCTTCAAAAACAGCCGTCGCTTCTCAATTTCCCTTGCTTTTCCCTGCGAATAAGAGAGTAAAATGGCAAAAGAGAAGAGTAGAAAAAAAGCTTAATTAGTTGGAATAAGTAGATAACGATCGAGTTAAATATAATAGAGTTAATTCTCTGAGATTTCTGGTCCTTAAACAAAGTTATAATTAAACGAAATTTTACGATTAACCAACGTGTTGTTAGGATAAGATAAGACCGAACATGCAAAACTTAAGGAATTTAATAAACGAACGCGTGCACATATATGTATGCATATACATATTCACGTGCGCGCGCGCGAATCGCTTTACTTTAACTTTTCAAACTATCTGACATAGTTGGAGAGCCGTTAATTGCGTGCGATCTCGGATAAGACGTGATGAATTAATGAAATACTTGGACAATTAAAAGCCAAGTTAATTTATTGGGCGCATCATCAGATAACCCAAATTAAAAAAAAATCATAAAAATAGATTTTAAAACTCTATAAAAAATATCACGCAAATACATATCATTTAATTTTTATTATTTTTAATTTTTTTTATTATTTTAGTTTTTATCTTTTCAATTTTTATTATTTTTAATTTTTTTATTATTTTAATTTTTTATTATTTTTAATTTCTATTATTATTAAAATAATCCGATACAGTTTATTCGATTTCCAATGAAATGAGCTAACACGACGTTCTCCGGGAACGAATTTGAAGAAGATTCTCGCAGGAGATTCGATTCGCGTAGAGGATACACGCTTCTTTTTCTCGCGTAGGGATCGCGCGAATACGCTAATACGCGAATCACGGCGAGCGTAATTTCTGTTTTTAAATCTCGCTCGCTCTCGCACTCAGTAATTGAATCCTTCGTCGAGATTACTTCAGGCTTCGTCTGGCGTTTAAGCGAGGCGGCGGGCGCTCCAGGAGCGCCGTCTCTTCTTCAGCCCGCGGGTTATTTAAGATGGATTATTATTCTGCTGGTCTGCGGGGGCGGATATCAGCAAAAATGAAAATGCTCTCGTTTGCAGGCAGATTAATTGCCGCGAATCAGCTTAGTTGACGACGCCTCTCGTCGACGACGACGACAACGTTGAGAGGCTTGACTCTCTCGACCGGTCATAATAAAATAAAGCGTTATATAAATGCTTTAAACAGTACAATTAATCGGTATATTGTGTCCCCAACTTATTTTAAATATAAAAACGTGTAACGTATGATAAATCTTATATCAAAAATTTGCAGTCAGATATTACTTGTTCTTTCTATATTTTAAAAAATTTCTGCAGATTAAGAGAGAAAGTAGGAGACCGTTATTTATTACATATCGATAAATAAAAGCTTACGTTACGCTTCTAAAAATTATATAAGAAAAAAAAGAGAAAGATAGTAAGATCGTGAGTGAAGGCATTAAACAGGTCCCCCTTGAATTTTCTCTTCGCCCTTCGAACGGATCGATGACACAAAATCGACACGAAATACGAAATCCGTCGCGACGACAATGGCGTTCGCGAAACGGTGTTACATCGTTGACGAATTCGCGCGTTCACGCACGCGTTTATCACATTCTGAAAGCTCGGCGAGGCGTCGATGGTGATGGTGGTGATGGGGAGGATGGTAGTGGAGAGGGTGTAAGGTTTTGTCGAGCTTCGCCTCGCGACAAATCCTCCCTTTGTCGCGCTCGAAAATGGCGAGAGCAGAGAAAAAGTGAGAAAGGGAGATAGAGATAGAGAGAGAGAGAGGAGGAAGAAGTGCATTATATTTACCTTGTGGATGCATATCCGGTGGTGCATGGATTCCTAAAACCTGTATCGGGGTTCGCTGTTACGTGAAAAATAATTTACACGCGCGCGGATATCAATGCGCCCTCTTTTTCCCTTCCTGCATATATAGACACACCATATATAATACACAAATGCATATTTCGTCCTACGCATTACACAGAAGAGAGTCGGGCGCGTGCGACACGAAAGGGTGTGGCTTGCGAAAACAACAGGCGTCTTGAGACGTGTGTAATTTTTGAATTTCTGTTATAAAAGTGTACTTACATAAATTGTTACTGTAATATTCATGCAAAATATCGAAGAACAGTGCCGTGTCTAATTTTCACGACTCTTATCTTACATTATTACATCAGTGTATAATTTATTTGCATAAATTACAAATAGTGAATGTTTAAAATGCTAAACAAGTTTAAGGCCAATCATTCTGTTACTAACTACCCAGAGCCCTGTTAAATCCAATCCCTGTTTATAGCTTTGTAAGATAAATTCCTGGAAGATCCCATTATCAAGCAGAGCATCGAGAATGTTTTTAAATTCCGGGGATAAAACCTGTGAGGCAAACTTAGCAAAGACTCTGGAAGTATTCATTTTTTCCTGAAAAAGAGCATCGATCCCTTCAAAGGGTAGCAAAACATAAATATCCCAGAGCATTGCTGTCATTCCGCCGCCGACCTCTTGCTTTTTAATTTGAGATTTAAGGAAGCTTTCTATTTTAGGGGGCACATAATCCTCCATACCGATGGCTTTGTGGAATGCCTGGATGTTTTCAATAACATGGACTCCAGCATTTTGGAGGAATACTACTAATTCCTGATATTCCTGAAGAGTTTCGACAGCGCGTAACAGGTCATGGAATTCGGGTTTGAACATGAAAAGGAGAGCGTTTTGTACTCTTTCATCTTCGTTTACATACTTGAGTATTAGGTCAGAAATCTGTTCCAATGGAAGAAGCTTCACGAAGTCAACAAACTCTTCCTCTAATGTTTTAGGACGGCCTGGTATAGTAACACCGAGAACAATATACAAGACGTCTGCTACGATCTTCAAATTCACATTTCTATTCTTGAGACCTGTTACAATGATCTGGAAGGACTCACTTTCGGAAAGCCTGTTAACGATCTGTTGGCTGTTGGATCTGAGTTCGTTAAGCAAGTTGTTGAAGGCTGAGGAATATGTCAGCTTATCCACGTATAGGCTAATAAAGTCGTCATAATTCAAGAGGTTCATGACATCTTTGAATAATCCTGCGAGTCCACCGGTTCTCCTCCTCATTACATTATAAGAGGCAGGTGTAGGTTCAGGTGTCAGATCAGCTGTAGGGGTAGGTGTAGATGAAGGTGTATGTGTAGGTGTAGATGTAGATGAAGATGTAGGTGTAGGTGTAGATGAAGATGTAGGTGTAGATGAAGATGTAGGTGTAGGTGTAGGTGTAGGTGTAGGTGTTGGTGTTGTTGGTGGTACGAGTTCCTTGATTCCGACGGCTCTATTTATCTGATTTATTAAGTTGTAGCTTTCGACGCCTTCCTCTTGCAGATAATTAAGAAGATTGGTCACTTCGGGAATATTCTCCAAATCTATCAATAGATTTCTGAGTACAGGTGTGGTTGTGAGAAAGTTAACAGCTTCTTGTACTTCAGGATCATGCGCCAAGTAATCCCTAACAACTCTAACAATTCTTTTCATAGGGAGTAAATCGAGAATATCTTGAAGATCTTCATGAAGAGGACCTTTGCCGAAATCTGGGAACTGGTGAGATTGACCCAGGCCAATGATGGCCAAGATGGTAAATAGCGCTGAGAATAGGAATTTCATCTGCAAATATATCATAATCGCATATTTAATAAATGTGTAAATATTACAACACATTTTATAATGTGTGTGTATCCAAATATAATGCATATTGAAAAAATATTATTTTGAAAAAGAAATGTATTATTTTTAAATTATATTTAATTTGTAAAATTTGTGAACACATTGATAAACTATAGGAGAAACGAAGATAATAATTATCTATAAGTTAAAATGCATTTAATTATATGCAAAATGCCTAAATCGGTTTTTTACACAAACAGAAATTTAAAAATTTTTATAAACTAAAGGAGAAACCTTAAAATAGAAGTATATATAACATACATTTATATATATGTGAAATAAATATGTATGTACATAATATTTAATAAATATGTATGTGTATCATATAACATGTGTATAAAATTTTTCTTACACATATTTATCATATTCATACATATATATTATTGATTAATTGATTAATTAGTTCTTATTGTTAAAGTAGATTTTATTTGAAAAGAAAATAGTAATTTTAAAAGCTCAACTACAAATATAGATTAAACATAGAAGATCAAAAACAAAACTAAATATATATTCATCGTTAATAAATTAATAAAAAAAATTGGCATTTCACATACATACACATACATTAAATTTCTACTAAGAAAGAAAAAACTGAATTATTATCAAATTATTTATAAAATAACTAAAATTAAGAAGCAATAGTTAGTAAAAATAACTTGTTAAGCAAAGTTTTCAAAAAAGTGTATAAAAAAGGCTTTCTTACTTACCGTGGCAGCTGTATGAATACGCTTTGAAATCCGTGAATAATTATCGTACACATTTATATATACCGCTAGTATCCAGTTACATAAAAGACTAGATAAGATTGCGATCAGATCGATATATTGATACGCGAGAAAAAACTAAGGATTATTTGATAAGTTTTTGGATATAAAAAACACGAAAGATCATATTATTTGTTTTTCTTTGATATCGAGACTTAAGATATCGATTTTAAAATAGTTAATATTTCCGATAAATAAGAAAACAATTACTTTAAATTTCAATCATAATACAAGTATAAATTATGTAACAAATATGTAATTAAATAAGATAGTTGTTTGTCAAGAAAAATCCGTCCAGAAGAAAAGATGGATTCTTTTAATTTAAATAGATCTATGATATTTTCTACATTAATATATATGTGATTCAAAATATTAAATAGATTGAAATATTTTACATTTTTATGAGAGATATGTGTGTGAAATTATTTTAACAATTTTTTATTATGCATATATGTAATTTTTATCAAAAAAAGTGGATCAAATCTGTTTATAATCTTTCTTTCAAAATTCAATTAATTCGATAAGATACAGATTGATTATCGAGAAAAATTATCTATTGCTTCTGTGTTACAATCATTATCCGCTGCATATATACTTCAATAAATCTCTCTTATCATACAAATATATGATGAAAGCTTTCAATGAATCTTATTTTTAAAATATACAATCTCTATTGTGATTATTATGTAAAAAAAATCTATAATAAAGTATACATCTTAAATCAATTTTAAAATCATTTTTTTAAATACATTTTATTTTAAAGTCACGTGCTAGGATTGAAATACATAAAATCTTCGTTTAATCTTTGAAAAAATGACAAAAAAAACTAAAAATAAGAACTGAAAGAAAGAAAGAAAGGTATATAAAGAAAAACATTCTGTGAAAACAATATATCTGAGCATCTAAAATATTTTTAACTATTCTTTTAATTACTTTTACTCTTTGTCTGTAAAATTGTGCAGATATATAAATGTCAATATTTTATTTTCATTATCTTTATTGTTTAAATCTATTAAAAATTGATTTACAATTGACAATTTCAAATCACGCTGATATTACGATAAAACATTTTTTAATTTATCGGTTTTGAAATTTTTTCATTAATGTTATAGTTTTCTAAGACAGATTGATTCTAAGCTTTTTCAGTAAAAAAACATCATCTCTTTAGCTTTCTTTTAAAAGTTAGCGTCATACCTGCATTGACTCGTCTTTTTTTATTTATCGAATAGATACGCTCGTACCTATTCGATAAATAAGAAAAGACGAGTCAATGCAGGTGTGACGCTAACTTTTAAAAGAAAGCTAAAGAGTTGGCATCCGATTTCTCGTGCTGGAGCTAAAAAGAATACCGTTAATCGCGGGATGGCTACGTACAGGCATAAAGAAAGCAAAACTACGGAGAAAGAAATGGAACCGAGAGAGTGTAGGAGTTGATGGTGTTTCTCTGATTAAAATTCTTACGATTTAATAAGCCTCGGAACTTACCATTGGCACGTAATGAGAAGTCATGAGAAGAATAAGTAAGACAGAGCAAAACGAGAGAGATTTCTAGGAGAGGAATGAGATCGAGCAATTCGATTTTATAATTTTATTAATAAATCAAATAAATTAAATAAATAAATCAAATTGTCTTAATAATATAAAACTTATACTGTGTGTAAAGAAACACATGCCAAATTTATTCGTCTCTAATTTCTCAAGAAAAGAGGAAACCTTGTGATCTTCTATATCTTGCACTGTACTACGTTTAATTGGCAATGGCGGTAGCATCGGCTTCATAATTGTACTTCGGAGGATCCCCGTTTCCTTTGAAATTCCACCTGTGTCAAATTATTTTCTCTTGCTGGCCAGAAAACTTTTGCTCGATATTATGGCGGCATGTGGCGGTAACAGCCTGCCGTGCCGGTCCTATCGTTACCGACGTAACGGTCTCGAGGATTTTCACAGTAAAACAAGAAGAACCAACTAAGAAAATGTGTTCGGTATTGCATTAAAACTGCTTGCTGCCGGGCAGAATTCCGCGGGTAAGCGATAAGCCCCGAAGAGTGAGTGAGGATCGGCGAAAGGAAATAAAATCAATTTTCCGGCTCGGCCAGGCCACAGATTTGATGCGAATAGACCGTCAGTACGCTGGAGAGAAGGAAGGAAGGAAGGAAGGCGAACGAGATGAAGAATGAGAAGGCGAAAAGTGAGCAAAAGGAATGATGGAAAAGATAAAACTAAAGAGAGAGAAAGATTGGAATAAGCTTCAAAGATATGAGCGGTGAAAAGATAAGAGAAAGAGATGAAGAAAATGATATCGAAAAAAAGCGAAGAGAAAAGTAGATACTTGTAGATACAGGATGTCTACTCAAAACTTGTAAAAAATTTCCTCGATCCTCCAAGTATTTTCATTCAAAGTTTCAGATAAAGAGAGAATATTTTAATGATTTTTTTGGTGCAATTCTTTAAAATAAAATTTTTTATTCTATGCGTTTTCTAATGCTTTTTATTCATAGCTTTCGTTGAGATAAAAATTTTTAACTTGCATAACTTTTTCATTTTTTATCACTAAAAATTATAATTCGTAAAGAATTTATACTGCATATTCAATAATTTATTAAGACGTTGAATATATATATAAATAGAAGTAGATATATATTTATATTTTAAATACATAATATTCACAACTTGGCTTATCGGCGGACTGCTTACAATATAGAAATATTATCACAGAAAATTAAAAAAAAAAAATTTCCTAGGTTCTAATAAAATTCCATGAAAATTCCCTGATTTTTCCAGATACTAAAAGAAGAATTCCCGAGAATTCCAGGTTTTCCATGTTTTTCTAGGAAGTATAGACACCCTAAGGTAAAATAACTCGAGAAAAAATAAAGTTAGAAATAAAAGAAAGGAACCAGAAATAAAGAAAGGAGGAATCAAAACGAGAAAAAGAAAAGACCGGAGAAAGCAAATAGAAAAAGTAAAGTAGTATCCAAGCCGAGAAACATTACGAAAGAAGGGAGCAGAGGTACGGCTGGGGTATCGTTTGACACTACGGAAGCGCGAGAAGGCGGACAATCGTGATAAACGTCTAACGTGCGTGTGTGTATGTGCGCGAGCGAAGAGGGTGTACGTGAAGGCACTTTCGAAATATCAATTTGAAACAGCCACGACTATAGGTATGCGTCATGCTTTCCACCGGCCATTACGGCCGGCTTTCCATTTTTATTTGTATTTACCGGGGGCTTCCCCGTCCCCCCCGTCCCTCGTCGCATTCCAATGTCCCCGGGTCACCCCGCGGTACGTGATAGAAAAGGGGTGTCGCGAGACGGTGCGCTCTCTTCATATTTTACGACATTTTGTTTCCAATCCGCGGCCGGGAACGCGCCGGGGCATCACGTGGCATCTCGGACCTTATTCGACTTTTATGGGGTTAAATCGTGATGAAGTGTCTCGCGAATGGACCAACCTCGCCACCCCTTTCCCAATTCTCTTCCTTCTCTCCCTTTTTCTTTTTTATTTCGTCTGATCCTGACTTGCGAAGGATTCGCCTCGAAGGTCAAAAGCGAGAATTCCATCACAGCTGGTACTATTGGCATTTCGATACCTTTTACCCTTTGAAAAAAGGAAGATTTCTATTAAGATCAATAGAGAAGGAAGGAAGGAAGGAAGGCGAACGAGATGAAGAATGAGAAGGCGAAAAGTGAGCAAAAGGAATGATGGAAAAGATAAAACTAAAGAGAGAGAAAGATTGGAATAAGCTTCAAAGATATGAGCGGTGAAAAGATAAGAGAAAGAGATGAAGAAAATGATATCGAAAAAAAGCGAAGAGAAAAGTAGATACTTGTAGATACAGGATGTCTACTCAAAACTTGTAAAAAATTTCCTCGATCCTCCAAGTATTTTCATTCAAAGTTTCAGATAAAGAGAGAATATTTTAATGATTTTTTTGGTGCAATTCTTTAAAATAAAATTTTTTATTCTATGCGTTTTCTAATGCTTTTTATTCATAGCTTTCGTTGAGATAAAAATTTTTAACTTGCATAACTTTTTCATTTTTTATCACTAAAAATTATAATTCGTAAAGAATTTATACTGCATATTCAATAATTTATTAAGACGTTGAATATATATATAAATAGAAGTAGATATATATTTATATTTTAAATACATAATATTCACAACTTGGCTTATCGGCGGACTGCTTACAATATAGAAATATTA